CGCGGGCAGGCGGCCGCGCCCGCGCGTCCCGCCAGGTGGCGCCGTGGTGCCTCGGGAGGGCCGCTCCGCGCCCTCCCCCCCCCCTCGGAAATTTATTAAAAAAAAAAAAAAAAAAAAAAAGGAAAAGGTCAGGAACCTTCAGTGGAGCGGAAGGTGCTGAATTTTGGTCTTTTTTTTTTTTTTTTTTTTTTTTCTGGGGCGTGAGAGCGCGGCGGTAGCAATGCCCCCGCTTCAAAGGGTATCTCTTCCCTTGCGAAGGCATGCTGCCAAAATCCTCCTACCCTCTATCAGCATCTGGAAAGGCCTAACAGAAACAAACACTTCAGCGGGGAGCTCCCCTCTTCTTCTGTACACATGTGCACCCTCATTTCCCTGCATTGCCGCTGATGCTGGGGCTGGCCAAACCCCACTGGGGCTGGCCAAACCCCACTGGGGCTGTCTGAACCCCACTGGGGCTGTCTGAACCCCACTGGTGCTGTCTGAACCCCACTGGGGCAGTCTGAACCCCACTGGGGAAGTCTGAACCCCACTGGAGCTGGCCAAACCCCACTGGGGCTGTCCGAACCCCACTGGGGCAGTCTGAACCCCACTGGTGCTGTCTGAACTCCACTGGGGCAGTCTGAACCCCACTGGGGAAGTCTGAACCCCACTGGAGCTGGCCAAACCCCACTGGGGCTGTCCGAACCCCACTGGGGCAGTCTGAACCCCACTGGTGCTGTCTGAACCCCACTGGGGAAGTCTGAACCCCACTGGGGCTGTCTGAACCCCACTGGGGCAGTCTGAACCCCACTGGTGCTGTCTGAACCCCACTGGTGCTGTCTGAACCCCACTGCGGCACACGTGGCAACTCCCCACAGCAGCCTCGCAGGAACAAGAGCTGGGCCAGCTGGGCAGGGCCACAGGTTGCCCGCTGGGTTGCCTCCGCCGTGGGGAACGGTCACCTCGCAGCAGGTCAGGCAGGAGCCTGGGGACAGTCACCTCGCTCTGCAGCACTCGGTTTGTCAGTTGGGGGGCCCAGACTCTTCAGGGCGCGGGGGATGCTGCTGCCAGAGCTTTGGGTCCTGGAGTGGCAGGAAGGCGGCGGAAGGAAAAAGCCGTGTTTGCAAACGCAGGCAGAAGCGGCGGTGCGTTGCGGCAGGCGAGGGGTCAGTGGGGTGAGTGACAAACGTGGCGACAACATCGTCACTGGCTGGTTCCACCCGCAAACCTGAATGAACCCCCCCCCCCCCAGAGAAAAGCAGGTATGTGTGGGTACACGTACGCTGTCCTTGCTGGCAGAAAACCCAGGTGGCCCTGCGTCCTGGGAGGGGGTCGTGCTGTTTGCCCCAGGTGTAGGTAGAGGGGTTATTTCCTTCTGTAGCTGCTGCTTTCCATCTAGAGAGGGAAATTACCTTCTCAAAGTGAAGGAGCTTGAAGGTTTGCTAAATGTTTTGAGAGTGCTTGATAGAAGACGACATTAAATACCGACTTATTATTACATTTTATAGCTCAGAACTACTATTGGGCTATATCCTAGAGGTTTTACTCAAACACGTGTTTTCAAACATGAATGTGTGGAAGTTAAACTGAAGCGTATTGACATTAAACGCCTTAGATATTTGGTTTGCTTTTCGGAAACATTGAACTCCTGGTGGGGTAAAGGCCTCTAAAAAGGAAAAAATTTCACTTTAAGAGCTTTCAACCACTGGCCAAAAGTAATTGTATTTGTTTTTTACTTGCTGTTTTTTCCAAATAGTTAATTCAATCACAGACAGTTCTTAGCTGTAAGCAGTAGCTTTAGTTCAAGAGTAGATTCTTGATATTGGGGTTATTCATATGAATCCACACAGCCAATAATCTCCTCCTCTGAGGTAACCAGATAATCAGTAAAGTTAAATACTAACAAAAATTATTATAAACCCATATATGAATGCAACGATTTTTTTACAATTTTTACTGAATAACTTGCCTGGGAAATGGGTATTAGTTTGGCTCTCATGGTTGACTCTAAGCCTGCTCTTACCAATACCCCTGAGACTCTCTGGTTAATTTTGTGGCACAAAATATTTAATTATGTGCTCTGCCAAGGGAATACAAGGTCTCAAATTGAATTTCAGCCTCCCTGGGCAACTATTTTAGACACTTTGGTAGAATGTAAATGCATATTTTCTGCATACCAGATCCTGGCCCCATATCCATCAAAGTAAATCTTCAGTAGTTCCACTGAAGGCTTGGAACAATTCTAAGTTATGTTATTGAGGTCAGATTGCGACCCTGAAGCTCTGGCAGAGACCCAGACCATGAAATTTGTGTGGGAAATTGGGGAGGGAAGAAATTAGCACTTGCCCATGCTTTTTGCAAGAGTAAACTGTTACAAAGGTGTGAGCTAAGATGAAAGCTCCTAACTGTGGTGGATATTGCTTTCCAGCTGTTTCTGCTGGAAATAGCTCTCTCTGTGTATATGGGATAGATCTTTATTTTTCTGATGGTGCTCTGTATCAAAGAACAACCAATTTTATGTCCCCGTTCCCTTCACTCCCTCTAAAGAAAAATCACTCAATCTTCTGTAAAGAAAGTGCAGGAGTAGGTTCTAACTTGGGGGTTTTTTTGCTCCGATGCATTTAAACCTTAATTTTCTCTCTCTGTCAAACAAAAGTGGCAGGCCTAAGTGGTATTAGGTAATTGTGGTTGTCATGCTGCACATTGTACTGTGGAAAAAATTAATTGTTGTTTTTTTTGCCCAAGGGTTTAAGCAGCGGTCCCTTCATCTGGCTGGGAGCACGTTGTTTTCCTCCCGATTGAGACTGTGTACCGTCGAGCAGCATGAAAGGATTCCTGTACAGCTGCACTGGGTGAGTGGGCGGGCATCTCATTCAGTAATAACATCTAATTTATACAGCCATGAAAATCTACAGCTATAAATAAACAGTTCTGACTGACTTTGTGTACTTACTCAAAATAAAGCGAGAGAGAGAAACAGAATGGAAAGAGAAATCTAGTGTAAATGTCGTAAAGGCCAGATCCTTACTCAGAGTACCTCAGTAAAGCCTTTTTGAAATCACAGGGAAAATAACAGTTTGTGAACAACGAGGCGTGCTTTCTTCCTTACTGGGCTTTGTGTGCGCCAGGGAAAGGAGCAAAGCAAACCCGAAATCCCAGCAGTTGTGTTTTGGGGACAGGCATCCCTGATCGCTTTCCGTGCAGGACGTAGCAGAGAGCGGTGCCTCTTCTGAGCCCTTTTCAAAGGGAGAAACACCCCCACCTCCCCGATTCTGCTCACACCCCCGCAGTCCAGCAGCCCGGTCACCGTGCCAGATCCCGAAGGTGATCGCGGCGCGAGCAGGAGCCGAGGATGAGGTGTGCCACCCAGCTCCTCTCGTGTGACGTGGGAGTCACTGCCCCTCCGTGTCAGGGCTCAGGCTTTGTTTCGAGTTTCTGACATTTAAACTGTTTGCACTGGGCTACCAGTACAAGATAAAATAATTTTAAAAACAAGAGAGAGAGGGAAAAACACCCAACAAACCTGTACAGGGAGTCTCCTGAACTTTCTCCTCTTCCCTAATTACCTTCACGGTTTTTATTCTGTCTGTCTCTGAAATATTTCCTTTGACCAGCATCTTTCAGCTGAATCCTTTCCATGTTCTCCTTTAGCTTCAACAGAAAGTGAGGTGGGGTGGGAGGGAGTGAGGAGCGTATGTGTAATTGCTTACATTCCCCTTGCAAAGTTAGCTGGAGCGAGTTATCTGGATAAACTGGGTATTATTGAGTGTGTGCATGTCTTACATTGATTTAACTTAGTTTACAGTCTAATCCTAGTATGTTAACTTCCCAGGCTAAAATTTTATCAGGTGCTTAACATGAGAAGAACAATCTTATGTATACACATTTTTATTGCTCACAGGCAGCTTACAATGTGTTTCGTTTTCACTAAGCTCCAGCAGCATTCGAAAGACAAAAATAACACCCCGATGAAGCACGTGCACAGTAGCTCTAAGCTAGGGGTTTTGGCAACGAAGATAGAGTTAGACATTTAAGTACTGCAACGAGATTCAAATCCTCATTTAAATATGCAAGGCTAATAGCAGAGATCTTTCTTTTTCACATTGACCATTAAAGAACACTTACGCTACTGTCAGTTTTGCCTGTTTACTGGAGTTTGCAAAGCAGATCTCCGGTGTTTTAGATGTTAACAAAATGTTGAGGCTAATAACAGAAATCAACTATATTGAGCAAGATTAGTAAACATGTGACTGGAGTGTAATTATATGGCAAGCAGCTTTATGTTAAACAGTGCTTTAAATTAACATGCTTTCTGTCAAAGCAATCATACAGTCAGTATAATTAGGTTACTTTTGCTGCAAGATTAACTGAAACCAAGAAAAAGAAAGAAAGTGTTGCGTTCAGATTTCCTGTTAAAATGAAGGGGAGATATTATGCATATTAATATTACAGAATGTTTCTCGTTAGAAGAACTTGGCTTCATGGTGAACTTTCTGAGCAGACATTCCTAATTACAGTCCTCGTTAGCCCAATTTGTTATCTAGATAGCTTGGAAGTCACAGCACTGTTAAAATTACCCCCCTCTTAATTTTTTCCAGACTTGATGAAGGGCAATCCAAACAAGAGCTGGCTTGCATTCACAGGTCTTTTACAGAGCAGTGCCAAGCTCATGAGGGAGTTCATTTACCAGTGACGAGTTTTAACCATGGACACATCCTCACGTACATTGTGCAAGAGATGAGAAATCTGTGTAAACAGATGAATACAACTTTCTTATTCATAGCAGTTGCGGAGTTATCATGTAAGAGGCAAACATTTCATATTTTCCACAGGTGTTCCATATGCCCGATGACATAATGGCTCCACTAGAAGCTGCAATGCATTGGAGAAAGGATTTATCACAGCTGCATTTATTTTCCTCTACTTCATGGCTTCAGCATTCACGGAGAGATTGGCTTGGAGAGGAGGATTCACTTGCCCTTCCGCCTGTAGTCAAGTATTACTATTGAATCTCCTGTTTGGAAGCAGAGGAGAAGAGATTATTGGAAAACAAGGCACAACAGAGAAATCCTCTCACAGATCAAGCACGCTGTTGGGAGGAGGATGTGAACCTGGCCCCAGCACCCCGGGGGAACCAAACCCACCTGGGAGTGGGAGTGGGAGTGAGCTATGAGCGCACGGCTTGGACCAGCCGCTGGTGCCAAAGCGCTGCAAAAGTCGAATGAGCCTGGGATGTCCCCAGCAAGTAGGGGATTACTCGGCTACTGAGGAATGATTTGAAATCTACCACGGGCCACATCGCTGGAAAATAACAGTGCTTGGCTAGTGAGGAAAAAGTATCCGCCACCAAAGAAGCCTAGCTTGGTGTAAGAATACGTGGAAAGCTTTAAAAATAAAGCTCATCTGAAAAGGCAGCAGATGATTAATCCTGCAGCTAAAATAACTGGAGTGTCCTCACGTGTCTGGCCAGGAGGGCAGAGGACCTAACAAAGACCCACAGCTTTCTGAAGCACCAGCTAGTGACCAGATGTGCTACCGTGCGGCACCAAATGTGGCAATGACCAAATATATTCAGGTACCCTTATCTAAAGCACCGTCTCATCTTCTTTTCTTCCCTGTTGATAATCATTTACTCACAGGGAACCCTCTTTTAAAGGTGCTTTCCTTGTCCATAGACCTCAGAGGCTCTGAAACACTAATAGCGGTACTTGATTTATCTCCAGCCTGCACAGCATTTGTCAATTGACCTGATATGGAAGAAAATTATGTCATTTTTTCCTTACTAAATGATCATATAATTATTTAGTACTGACCAAACAGAAATTTTAAAGATGAGGGAGGAAAAAACTCCACCATAAGGAAAAAAAAAAAAAAAAAAGACTAGCCTATTAGACCAGGGACAGCGTATTAGCTGGCACCTGTTAATGTCTGGCCTCCAGTGCTGAAATCGTAAGCCCTGGGTTGCCAGAGCTTCCGATTCGGTCTCCCTCTGGGGGATCATCAGATAAACTCGTCAGCAAGAGTAGGGTGTGCGACAGATGGTGCAGGTTTCCTTTAAATAGCTAGATTCCTCAACCCAGGGGGTGAACTGCAGCTTGGGGGAGTGATAAATATGAAGGATATAAGTATGCTGTCACAGGTTTGTGGGACAACTGGGATGAATGGATGAGACAAAAGTAAATATTTGTATTTAGTTTGCAAACTCTGGGCTGTAAATCCTCTTCAATTTGAGTTCCATTCGTCACTGGCAATATAGTGAAATTGTAGACATAAACATTATTTGCTCATATAAAGAAATGGATATACCCTGGACTCTTATTCTTTGCTTTTAAACGCAAGATAGAACAAATGAAGATATGTTCTGGAAAGCAGGCTCAGTTTAAAAATCCTTCCCAGACACTGTAATAACGAAGGGTGGAACCTGTGTCTGGATTAATAACTACCTGCAGAACATGAGCATTTTAACATTCATACAAAAACTTCTGTTCATAAGCCTGTACCAATACAGTGGTAGAATGACTTCATACCCCACACGGTTGCCCTTTGCATCCCTTTATTTGCCACTTAGGTTTCTGTGATCTCAATAGCTGCTCGGGAGAATGAAAGCATTGAGAATTCAATCATGTTATGGTATTGCTTTATATTGCACAGGTTCATGCGCTGTCACACAGGCTGGGTTTCCCAACAGCTGACCACAGGGTATTAAGGGAGCTTGGTTTCACAAGCACGTAAATATAAAAATAAAACCCGGGGAAAACAATCAGTTCCTAAAACAAGTTATATGCTTCTGCAAAACTGCATTTCATGAAAAAGTACTTCAAAAAGAAGAGGAAAAATATGTTAAAGAGAAGACTGTCATCTGACTTCAGCTCAGCCTCAGGTGAATATCTTTCAGCAATGCCTTCACAAGACATTCAAGAGCTCCCAGAAGATCTGGAGGAGCACATCCATCCATGCCCTGGGCACAAGGAAGTTACTCCACCATAAGTTTCATCTTTTTTCTAAGAGCAACAGCTCTTATTCTTGTCGTACTGCCTTATCCCTTGCTCTGGAGTATCTTTAATTCCAGCTTTGCCCCCTCGGTGTTCCTCAGCCACCTGCTGACAAGAGCTTTCCCTTCTGGAGGACAGCAGGCATCCAGGCATGGGTCTGTCGGAGCTGCTGCCCGTTCCGACAGCCAGCCTCCCTTTCTGCCCCGTTTCTCTGCCGAAGGACGGTTCCACCGCCTGGGGATGAGCATTTCTCTGGACTTGGCAGAGGTCTTGTGCCTGTAAAATCTCGCAAGTGGTCTGCCCAGTGTCCCTCAGCAGGTACTTAAATCACTGCTGGGGCCAGTAGCTGTTGCTAGCTGTGGCTCCTATCCACCTGCATTTCAAAGTATTGAAATGAAGCAGCTGATGAATGTTAGTTTGGGTTTTGTTTGGTTTGGTTTGGGTTTTTTTTTTTTTTCAGGTGTGTTAAATGAATCTGCTCCATCTTCAAATGCTGGTGCCAGAGAAAAGACCTCACTTGAAATGTTGCTCTGTTGGATGTAGAGAACTTTGATCAGAATTTCTCCTGAGGATCTGGTTGTCTCACCAGGAGCAGAACCTGAGGGAAAACTGCTTTGCTTTATTTTTCAGGATTCTAGTTCAACTGGTCAAAGTAACACTAGATCACTTGACTGCATGATGTTTTCTACCCATCAGGAACAGAAGAAGCTATTGCACGGTTCATCTTTGGTATCGGACCCTGCAGCCAAATTCTTGGCTGAGGTAAATTTATGGCAGTAAAAGAATCAGCCCATTGTTTTCAATTATCCTCTTTGGAGTTTCTGTATTGCTCAACATTGTCTAGTACTCTAGAAACTCTGGGATTTAAAACAAAAAAAAAGTCATTACTGGTACTATTTTCTGTGCCTCTCAGGCTGTGCAGCTGGGTTGCCTTAGTTACCACCAATCCAACTGTGCGAGGGGAGGGAGAGGCACATGAGAGATAATACATTTTTAAAACCTCCAATACTGTATGAAACAATTTGTCTATAAATAATAAAAAAAATTTAGGGTCTGGCATCTTTTGTTTGTTCTGAAAAGGAAAAACAAGGTTATATTATTCAACAGCCTGGATTTTCCAGCTGTCAGAAATGATACTGTATCTCCTTGGCCTAGCACAGGACATAGCTTTAAAAATTACTTGCTTCAAGCTGAAAGCTGCCATCCACAGACTTTGGAATAAGTTGGAACTGAATATACCTTTAATGGTGAAAAGGAGCAAATATTTATGTAGCTGGTTTTAGGAATATTGATGGTGACCTGAATCTAAAAAGGAACATCGAAGAGAGCCCCTGTGAAGCATGGTATGTTGTAGGATAAGCTTCTTTTGCAGCCTACCGTCTGCCAGATGATGTAAGTCCATAAGGAAACCAGCCTTGCCACTCACGTGGAGCTGTTTGTTAATCACTTCTTGCACCTTCAAATAAACACAGTTTATCTGGGCATAAACTCGGCGGGCTTTCTTCCTTCAAGTGGGAAAGGAAGAAAAAGAAGCAGCTGCCCGGAGCCTTTCCCTTTGGGGCAAAGCCTGGTCGCAGCAGCCCAGGCAGGGCTCTCTGCATTGGCAGGTGCCACCAGCATCAGGTCTAACTGCTCAGAGGTACAGATGTTATTGGAGAAGGTGTTTCCAGATGTGCCTGGAGGAACCAAGTGGACAATTGCATTAGTCTGTAACACAAACTGTGCCTTTGGGGGACTGAGCAGGAAGCAAGAGAGGGCAGGAATGTGCTTCCATGTACATTTTCTTTTGAGTATCTTTTTTTTTTTCTTTTTTTTTTATTTCTTTTGAGGGAGAGAGGAGGTGGGCATGGTGGAGGGGAGAGTATGGAGAGATGAAGTGAAGAGGTCTGTCCTCTACCACCACAGATTGGTTTGCTTTATGTGTGTTTTTTGCTGGTTGGTTGGTCGGTTTTTATTGTTTTTTGGGTTTTTTTTTGTTTGTTTTTTTTTTTTTTTCTTGCAGGGCTATTTTAACTGCATCATCTCCCTTATTATGATGGGAAGGAGAGACAGGGAAGGGTAGGATGAAAAAAACATACGTGGAGGCATTTTTGCTGTGAGAAGAAAGGTATGTTGGTATCATGTCTTAATTCAGTTTGCAGCTCTTTTTACTCCGGCAATGCTGAGCCAAAGGTTTGTCTCAGTCAGGAACATGTTAAGACTCTGCACACCGTAATTCAGAATAGCATCCCTCTGGCTGTGTTTCAATGCTTATTGAGACCTTGTTATCAATACCAGCTTAAGGAAACTCTACCTTTCTCTTGGGTGGACACAACTGGGAAATGGATGGGGAAAAAGATCAGAGTTGAAAACAGCCTCTGCTTGCAAGAAAGAGGTGCGTGTGGAGGAATTGGAAGGAGTGAGGGGTGGTGGGCAGGGGCTTTATTGAGAAGTGATTGCTGCCAAAGCCCCCCTGTTGTCAGACTGTACCCCCAGCTACCGCAGAGTTGCCAGCTATTGGGGTGCAGCTTGCAGCTTGTTTTATCGGTGCGGAGCAAATCCAGGGAATGCTGCGAGTCCTGGGGGTGAAGAGCCGAGGGTGCACGTGAAGTAGCCAGGGTTTGCACAAACATGGGGAGCAGTAACTCGGGGGGAGTGCCCTGTGCGTGGATGAAAACACCATGTAGATGTTAAGGCTCTGATTTTGTGGCTCCTTTGAAAAATACCAAGTATTGCATGGGTGAGACAGACCCACCGCACAGAGGAGGCCTCTGTGGATTGCAAAAGCACACCAGATATCAACGGAGGATATCATGTATGCCATGCTTATATATATTCTCTGGGGTTACATTCATGCTATCACAACTGGGGGTGCTTTTCAGCCTGTCAGTGTGCCCAGAAAAGGAAGTTGAGTGCTTGCCCCAGTTTCTTAGAAATCTCTTAAATTAACATCTCTGAAGTGAATATATTTAGTTAGCTGTTCAAAATGCATCTAATTTTTGCAGTTAATTTGATCTCTGCTTGGCATGACCTTTTGTCTGATCAATTAACACCTTGGAAATCAAATTATTTTAATTCTGATTATCTTCAGCTTATGCATCAGGCATACTCTAGGCCTGAAATTGCTAATATGTACTCAGTGATGAAAAAAATCAAATACCTACATGTATCAGATATCAGATCTCATATAAAGACCTATATGGACTTGTAGTGATGATGTGGTCTTTGATTAGTAATAGTTGCTATTTTTGTGATGCCTCTGAAACCAGAGCCAGTGCAGAAAGGCTGCAGATCTGTTTTCATTTACCAGCAATTCTCATCTTGTATCATATTTATGCAAGAATAAAATTCAGCCAGAATTTCCAAACATGGACATGTAGAGCAAGCATCTTATTTACAAAGGTATCAAACGGTGAAGTTGGTTATTCAGCACATTTGAAAGTCAATCTGCTGCTTTTAGGTAGCTGAGTACGGATGGTGAGAGACTAGATACAGACACTCTACTTTGACTTGACAGGCATGTGAGACTTCACAAAATGGATCAGGCATCAAATGTTCCCTGAGAACAGAGGGAGGTTGTCTTATTTATTTTCAGAGGTGTTTTTGCAGCATTTTTTCTTTCATCAGAAAGCTAGTTTAAGAAATTGCAAATGTTCACACATTTATCCTAAATAAAATACACACGTTTCCTGACAGAAGCACTTTCATCCTCAAAAACTTAATCTTGAATGAAAAAGGAGGGAGGAAACCAGAAGTGGAAAATAAATAATAATAATAACAATAATAACAATAACAATAATAATAACAATAATAATAATATCCCATGTCAAACTCCCAAAGCTGCTTCGTTGGTTCTTTCTTTCTTCCACCTGTTGAATGTGTCCTCCTAAACTACTTTTTCTTTTCTTCTAACTGCCCATTTGTCCAAGGAAGTTGCCTTTCATTTTCTTTAAATCACTACTGATTATACCACCACCAAAGCAGAAGGGAGATGGTCTCAACAGTTTGTAAAACTTTCCAAAGTACTGTTTTACTCATGGGGCTGCTGCGATTCTTTCACTTGGATACACTAATGCCTTCCTATAAATTGTCGGTGATCAGTGCCATTCCCTTGTCTGACAAGCACCACGTGATGCAGGTGTAAGAGTTTTAGCTGAAGAGATTTGGCTTCTCTGGACACTTGTTTGAGAAGAAATTCAAAATCCCGTGATTATGCTGGCTAGAGTTTCTTCTCAAACCACATCAGAGAAACCTGGCCTGGCCTTTATCTGGCAGGGTTGGGATTCTTGCTCTGGTTTGTTCTCTGTTTGTTAGTAACTGGCCAGGACCCTGCAGCATCTATCAGACACCCAAATGCCACCCTCCAGTGCACAAGGGCCCCCTTCCTCACAACCAAAGGAATTCATTTTAGATTTTTTTTTTTTTTTTTCATATAGATAGAAGTGAAAAACAAAACTTGGACTGACCCCATATCATACGGTTGAGGAACTCCCCGAAGTTGTAGAAAGAGACGATGATGGCAAGGCTACCAGTGAAAAAGGCTGCTAGCCCAGCCGGGCTGAACAAAGCAAAGAGAGGATATACCCACTCTCCCGTTACAGAATAAATCCAGAGGACCCTAGGCAAGGAGAGAAATGACCTTTGATTAGGACCATTCAGTTAGAAGAACCACTTAATGATTTCTCACTCCTGAAGGGCCAAGCAATCAAAACAGTCTTGATACAGAGAAAATTAGCTCAGCTGCCGATACATCTCCTCGGCATTTGGGCTATTTGCTGTGAAGCACACTTGAGCCACTGCTAAATTAGATGGGTTTCAGCGCAGGTTGAAATGCACAGAGTGTTCTGCTGTCATCCTGGTGGCACTGGCTATTAATGGCAGTAAAATAACAGTAAAATAGCAAAATGCTCAGAATTAGGGATGTGCACTTGGCTATTCTAAGTGAAGCTTATTCAGATAAGCTCTCACATATGTGTTTAGTCTTTAGTTACAACAGCTTTTCAGCCTCTCTCCAGATCTCAAGGGTCTGTGGAGACAAAGTGCTGTTTCTCACTGTCTCTATCCTGCTGCTGTCGACTGCTGTTTGGAGAGTGGAAAGAAGTTTTTGGGAGGCGAGAGGACAAGGGGAGTTCTCCAGCACCTTTTCTCTTGGTCTAAGGGGAAGAGGAGAGGAGGAGCAGGTAGGTAGGAAACAGATGCAGCTGCTCTGCTCCTTTGTGCCAGAACCATTTGCAAAGCACCGTTTGGGAAAGGGAAATAAGGAAAAGGAAGAGGATGAATATGCCTGCTTTAAAGGGCTTCTTTTCTTCTACTTAGGCCCTCTCTTTCTACCTTTTTCTTCTCTCAAAAAAGTCTTGCAGTGGCTGTCTGTTCACTGATATTATTTTCATTGTTTACATCTCATAAGGGTGTCTGGTAGAAAATGCCTGGACTTAAGAATATTTAAATGGTCTTTAATATTAAGAATATATATATAAAAATTGGTATCTATATTAAATATAGTGGGAATTACATTTTTATGAATAAAATTAAATATATGGAATATGTAAAGAATATAAAAAATAGGGCAGGTCTCCAGCGATTGTTATGAGGAAGTGCCATTCTAATGATGGGCAGCACTTCCCCAAAAAAAAGCTCCTTTGGGTGTAAAGAGCCCTAAAAGGTTTAGTTCTTCATTAAAAAAAACCACACCTGAGGAGTATGCCATACTTTCCACCACCAGTGCTAACATAGGAATGCAGTCCCACTCTCTCTGATGGCGCCCAGCCTGCCACCTTACACTGAGCATCACGCCTCCAAGAGAAGTGACAACCAGGCTGCCCCACCAGCCTGAAACTGTGTCACGAAACTGTGGAATGGCAGAGTGCTAAGAAAAAAAAAAAAGTCTGAAAAGGTGATTTCTCCTACGATTTCTCCTTTCTCTAGTTAGAAAATGAAGGGGTAGGGCATAAACCCCCACCTTTTTTACATTGCCTGTCACAAGAGATTCACTAACCCCCACCTAAGAGGTAGAGTGGAGAAATGGAGGGAGTTGGTAGTGGAGCTGCCCTGACTGAGCACGGAAATGTTAAGAGTAGAGACACATTTTCACATTCTTTCATCAAACAAACAGGGCTGTGAAACAGATAAGTAATTAAAAAAAATCCAAAACAAAAAAAAAAAGCTGCACAAAAGGCCACAGGGAGGCTGAGCAGAGATACTGGAGACGGCGTACTAAGTGGAGCCTGTGCAAATGTCAGTATGTGTTCTTCCCTGCACAGGGCTACTATTTCCTTAACGTGTCTCAAACAGTGAAACAGAGTGACAACTGCCTTTATTTTATATAATGAGGCACTAGATTATCTTGATGCAATTTGGCCAGCTGGTGTGCCTCATATGAAGCACTCCAACCCGTATTTTCAAACCTAAACAAATGACCATGCAGAAGCACTATAGCACTTTCAGCTTTCTGACTTGGTGGGAGCTGTGTGTTGCCAGGGGTTTTACCTTGGGGCATACCTCCAGATTCCTGAATTTACTCATTTTGATCATAGCGTGTTTGACAGTTTGGGGGCTTAGTGGTTTTTGTTTGTGTTTTTGTTTGTTTGTTTGCTTGTGTTTGTTTTTTTTGGTTGGTTGGTTGTTTTTTTTTTCCCTAGGGATTTCATAAAATACACCCCACAACTTGCAAATACATATTGCTCATGGGTAATCACATGCAGGATTCAGAGGCTTTTTATTCTGAAGGTTTTGTTTCACCAAATTTCAATTTTTACCAAGATTTATCTTGGATATCAGTGAGTGAGTCAGAAGCAGACAATGCCCAGAATTATGGGGAGGATAGATTGAGATAGCAGCCCTGGGTATAACCAAAGTTGCCAAACTACTGTAGGATAAAGGACAGCATATGCATATGAGGGAGTGCTGATGTGCTGTCATAACACAGCTGGATGCAACTTCTCGTTACATGTCCACTAATGTCAGTGGGACCACTGCAATCACTGAAGGGGGAAAAAAAGTGTCTCTAGGGAATTATTAAATTGGAAAATCTCAAAAAGGAGAAAATAACATATTGGCCACATATGAGCTCTCTGAGACTGTGGTTAATTCAACATTAAAAGGTTGTGAACTGAAAATGAACAGCAGTGAAGGAAAAATATGTTGATCCCTAACAGAGGTAGAATATGGCCATATTACAAGAAAGCCATCAGTCATTAGATTTAATTGGTTTGGGTTTTTCGATATTTTAGTTTTTTATACAGAATGCAATCTATAATGATTTATAATCCCTTGCAAAGGTAGTTTGAACTTTTCTCTGAAGCCACTTACAAAATTGTGAAGATTAGGGTTTATTTTATGCTGATCTATTACCACTGAAATGGGAAAGGACAATCTATTGTTACTTCCTTTCTAAGATTTAAAATGCCTATTCTAAAATTTATATAAACTTCACTGCTGTCGGTGTGATGACTCCAGGAGTAAGGCATTACTTAATGCAACCAGGAGGTGCAAGATCCATCCTTGCAAGAATTAACTAACATGCCTAATGGTTCTCTTAGCCCGGGTGTCCCGCAGCTGAGAGTCCCCTTTCCTTTTTGAACACTATGGGTATTCAGAGGTGCAGCAGATCCTGGCTCAGAGGCAGGGACCTGGTGCAAGGCATCTCCGGCTGCTCGGTCTCTCAGCTGCCTTGCAGGGACCAGTCAGTTCTCAATCCATCAATACTGGGGAAGGGGAAGAATGGTGATGATAGGGACAGTTCAAGGAGAGGCTTTTAGGAAGGATTCTGTTGCTTGTGAAACATAAGGTGCCCAAATGGGGCTATTAAAAAGTCACCAGGTTGCAGCACCAACCGTAAAATGCATGCATGTGTTAAGATTTCAGTGCACAGGCTAAGAAATTTTTCTTAGTTGAAAGCTATTGTCTGTGGTTGCAGGGAACCGAGACAAGGAGGGAAAAAGAAAGCAGACAGGACATTCCTTGTTGCCTTGGGAGGAGAGATAGCAACAGTATTGAAATCCTCATATCTTTTATCTAATTATCAGGGCCCTGGGACACAGGGGACAAATGCTCTAAGGGACCACCTTCCACTAAGCTCCATGCAACGTCAGGTCAGAGAAGGTACTGGAAGGGCTCAAATGTGTTGATGCCTTTGTGGATCCTCATCCCTTGATGAGGATTCAGGTCCTGGCATGAGCCGTGTCTCCTGTGGGGTGAAATTGCTCAGCTGATAGGGGCTTTGGGGGAAAGCATGGCACACATGACTGCAGTAGTTGCCTGGAGAGCAGTCTGGTCTCAAAGACAGTATAAACCAAATGCTGTCAGAAGACAAGCGAAACAAAGCTGGCATTTTAAGCAACTGGGTGAACTAGAACATAGAAAAGGAATTTAGGAAACCGTGGTCATAATCCTATTGAGATCTGGGCTGGATTCGGATAAATGGCTCCTAACTTGTTTATGTAACAGAGCAGTGAAGTCCATTGCTTCCACAGCCACTCTGATGGGTTTCAAGTCACAAGAGTGTTTCACCCGTGCAGTTTATTTTCTACTTCACATTTTCATTCAGTGGGCTGAAGGCAGTCTCTAGCTGAGAGTGAGAACTGGTGGATAGGAAGGGGAAGGATGGATTCCCTTACAGTCCCAGTGACTTCTCAGAAATCTTTGCATGAGGACAAGCCACGTCCCTGCTGACCAGTTGCTCTGTATCCTTCACCCTAGGGTCCAGCTGTTTCCTGAGCTCAGGAAAGTGATATCGCAGCGTACCCTGAAACCATATGGACCTGCTCCTGAGCCAAGTCTCAACAAGGCATCCTCAGAGGGGTTTGAAGCGTTGGCAGCTGCCCATACTTAGATGGAGTGGGCCATACCTCCAGACCCCGGCACTGCAGCCAGGATGCAATGAGCAGGAATGGATGCAACCTCAGGTCCAGGGGTGCATGAGACACACAGAGGAGGTGGGTGGATGGCTATGGGCTGGGGTGGGGGCTGGTTAGATATAGTTTATTCTCTCAGGATCACACACCAACAGGTTGGACATAAACTGTGGTACATTGCTGGAAATGTAGGCAGTGTCCACTGGTGGAGTGGGAGGTGGTAGTGGGACAGATGCCAGCTTGCTACCCATCAGTTTGCTCCTGGATTTGAGTATCATTTTCTATCTCAGGTTTCTAAACCCAGCCGTGTGTCCCTGCCAAATACCAAACTGAGTTTTACTCCTCTTCTGCTCCTGTGACCCCCAGAACTTTGAGATTTGGTGTTTTTGCAGTGAGCAAGACAGTGAGTGGAGGTAAATTTGATGGTACTGGTAGAAATAAAAACTCCAGCCCAGAAGAAATAACTCAAAGTACCCAGGAGTTTATGACAATTTAGTTGCTTTTCTGTAAGAGGCCTTAGAAGAGCAGGAGATACTATGTATGGTCTCAGAACCTGTATTGTGTTTGAAGAAACCTGCTCTGCCTATGTCTGGAAATAGTTTTCATGGGTCTCAGCTGAAATTTAAATGACTTCTCCACAGAACAGACGGCTGTATCCCATGTGCCTGCACGAGAACTTAAATCTAAGTACAGCGTTTGACCTTGTTTTACAAAGTAGGTCACTTGGAAAAAATGTTTTAAAGTATGTGTTTCTTACCAACTGATATACAGAAAAGTGACAAATCCTAGTAGGATCAATCCCTTCTTCTTTGCTGGGTAACGGTGCGGCAGGGCAAGGATTTCCAGGACAGCAAATGGCAATACAGCCGTGTGCTGTGGAGAAAAGAGAGTCCGTCACTGACCAGCCACAGCACCTTGCCCTCAGTCACTGCTGGTCACAAAGCCCAAGAGCCTGCCCGTGAGCAAAGGATTATTTAACAATACTCAATGTAATTGTACACATACATGTATACTAGTGAATAAGTCCCCCTGCAGTAACGAGCACAGAAATTTTCTTGTTAGTATGCTGTAAAAAGTACTGTAATGAGATCTGCTTGTCAAATGATCTGCATTACTTTGTAATAGGTGAGGTTTCCTTTTACATTTTATAATGCCATAAATGTTTTGGTAATTCCCGTTAGAGTACAAAAGATATTGAAGTCTATTGTTATGTGCTTTTGAGGATGTCAGAAGTCTCTTCTTTGAACTCATTAAGCAGTTGCTGAATTGCCTTCATGTTCTTTTCAAGTTGTTATTGTATTTTATAGATTGTCATTTATTATTTACTCCAGTGCAATTGCAGTGTGCTTTGTTTCTCTTTGTAAATGGTGGTAAACATACATAGGACTTATGTTAGCTGTGATTCAAGATGATGAGGGAACTTCAAACAAGCTTAACCAAGAGTTAGTAAAGAGTTAGCTTGCTGGAGAAGGGCTTTTTTTCTTCTCTCTGTTTTTGTCAAAGAGTTTAAATTGTATTAAGCAGCCTCAGTTTCAAGGGCCTTTTTGATAACTCTCCAAGCATGGAAGATTTTCAGCACAGGGCAGCCAGCTTGGTGGCACTGACTGTTTTGTGGTGGGGAGCTGCCTCCAAGATGGATGCTCCTCGCTGTGGGGAGGGAGGTTGGGAGCACAGCAGAAGTCCTTCTGGGCTCGGATGTTAAATGGGAAATGCGGAGCTATGGGGTTGTTAGCACCTCAACTTGTTGGCTGATTTGTGGCAACTTCAGAAAATAATTTGTTGGGCTGAAATTTCTCCACTAAAATTTTGTAATAATGCTTGCTGTGCAAGTAAATTATAGTTTTAAGTTGCAATACCTAGGACAGAAAACCTAAACAGCGCTGGGGAACAAGACAGCAAAAACACTCAATGAGGTGAAATGTGAGAAAACTATAGCAACAACTGTAGCTGACTAGTTGGTTAAATTCCTATTAACTAATCAGTTTCATGTGTAGATGGGGGAAGGAAGGGAGGAAGGGCAGCAGAGAAAGATAGATAGACTTTTAAATAGAAAAAACCACCAAGCTAATGATTTTTTTGTTTTTCCCTAAAGGCACAACCTGCTGGGTATATGGTAGGAAATTTCTTCTTGTCCCAGGGAAGTGGTTCTAGTACCTTCAATGTTTGTATTTGTCAGAAGCTGCGCTGAGTATCTGATCTGGTAGTATGGTGTCAAAGTTTTATTGCTGTACATTTATAGTACAAGTTGCCACAAATAGACATGAAGTTCCCTAAATGAACATTGAGCTACATACAGCATGCATGAAAACATTCTTCACCTATTTGCTTAAGAGTCAGACATCCATTTTTGTCTGCCATGACAAGTGACAGCTCACTGGAAGCTGCATGTCCTCCCTCAGGCCCCCCAGCACCCCCAGGAGCTGCTATTCGTACCTGGATGTCCTACTAACAAAATAACCTTTCCATCTCAGTTATCATTTTTCAGAGAAAAGAGATAGAAAAGGATTATTTGATGTTCCAGTTCCTCACACTCATTGGCACTGAGGTTTTCCCCTGTTCTGTTTCACAAAGATACTCTTCAGCTCTACAACCCACTTGATTGATAGCAGAGGTCTCGTTGTATCAGTACAAGCGATTCCTAGATTCATTTAACCAGAAAAATGTCTTTGTTGCACATAGTTTCCATATACAATCCCGTAACTGTCTTTTAGTCAGAAATCTATGTGTTAAGCTGCTTTTAGAATGACTAAAAAAAAGTTTATTTTCCATAGATGGTCAATAGTTTGTCCAAAATGCCCATGCAAGACAACAATGATGGAAAACTTGCACTTTGTCCCCACTTTTAGGCTTTAGCCTTTCACAGTGGATTTGTCCGTTATGCAAAGTGGATGTAAGTCCTGGTTTTCGTCTGACATCCAGTGGGTTACAAAATTCCTTTGGGCTACATGAAATGTCCTTGCTGGTCTTTTCATTAACTTAAACACTTTTAACAACTATAAACTGGCTGTTCCAGCCACATTATTGCTGTCCTAAGAGGGATTTAGTGGGAGTGACCTGGTGAAACAATCCTTTGTTGAAGCGAACAGTTTTTAGTGCGGGTTATTTTATATACTTATTTCCTTAGTTTGGGGCATTTTTTTCTCAGAGTGAATGTTAAATAAGTACAAGTCAGCAGTATGATGCTGCTTTAATAGAAAAAGCGTTCTGGGATGGTATTAACAAGAGTATTGTGTGTAAGAAAGACCTGGGAAGTAACTATGCTGCTTGCTGCTCCACTTGAACTGAGGAGGTTTTGGCTGGCATTCTCTCTCTGATTTAGGGCACCCCATTTTGACAAGTGCAGATAATTTGGAGCATGTCCAGCAAAAGACAGCACAAACAGCAAGAAAGTATGAACAGGAAAGCAGTCCAAAGACAGGCGTAGAAATCAGGACTGAATGTGTCGTTGCTTGTAGAGAGAAAAGGAAAATGAGAGAGGTTTCAAAGGCTCAAGAGGTTGATACAGTGATGACTGTGATGGACAAGTTCTCCGTGTCCATCATGGGTAGGACCAAGGGCGATTGGTTCAGTTTTCCTAAAGAGAGGTTTAGCATTATACTGGGAAATATGTAGCAAGGGCATGCAGGGAAGCAACCACCCAGGGGAGTTGGGCAAGCCCTTTAGAGGAGAATCTAGGCAAGAAGGTGAGTGTGATTCTGCCAGGCATCCCCTGGGCATCTCTGACAGCGCCTCAGTTTTCCTGTGAACCATCTACCAAGGGCCATGCAGACTCCAGAGGTCCCAAAGCAGAGAATGAAAGCATGGAGAAACGGGAGCTCTCCTCTTCTGGAGGGAGCAAGCTCTCATGACTAAGACCACCAATGTCTCCACTTGCTTAGCCTACTTCTTCTCTTTCTCAGTTCAAACATCTTTGCGCTGCCTTACAGCACCCAAATCCCACAGGAAGAGGGGAAGAGAAGAGCAGAGCTTTGCACCTCATTTAGAGTTTCTCCTTTGCCTCCCAGGAGTGAGCGGCACTACTCTGGGTGATGGGCAGAGACACGCTGGAGCGGCACGCTAACAACGGGCAGGCGGCACGGTGCTGGCACGGGGAGCAACAAGCTGGGGGTGGCGACGGGGAACCCACGGCTCCAACACATGCATTGGCACTGCAGGTGGGTAGCAAACTGGTAGTGGTTGAAAAAGATGGCTGGGAGCCCTTCTTTCTATTCTATGTTGATCTAGAAAATGCTGATTTGCTCAATTAGTCTTCTTTTGGCGGGCTCTCCTCCACTTATAGAGGAGTTAGAGAAAATACTCAGAGGCCTGTAAATCAAAAGAAGTTTGAATGTCATTGGCAAAGCTGGAAAATTTGGGTGCTTTTGGAAATAGCCAAGATTTTAGTGGAAGGGGTAGGTTCAAATTTCTGCTATGCTTGATTCACAGGGGCTTGAAGCCGAGCTTCCCACTCCCTGGAAGAGTGCTTCCACCTCTAAGAGCAGCAAAAGCATTCAGGAGTGGGGCTGTCTTCCTCTTGTTTGGGGAACAGTTTGTTAAAGGTCTTGGATTTATCCTGATTTGGAAAAAAAAAAAAAAAAAAAATTGTTGTGGCATAGGAAAGCTTCTTTCTTCCCACGTCCAATGATGACACTGGCACATGACCTACAAAAACATGTGCTATGTCTTCTGTACAAATAATTGCGTCTTTTAAAAAATGTTTTGCTATATATTAACCCAATTTTATTGATAGACTATTAGCCTATTCCCAGTTAGAGAGGATCACTGTATATATGAACTAGACATGGGTTTTGTAGGGTCATTTAAAGTTGCCATGCAAATGCCTTCTCAAGACAGATTTCTACAACAGTTCTCAGCTACTTCAATACACTACCAGGATGAAAATCTTTTGGTTTAGCATTTTTCCTTTGTGGATATAAAGCTTCTTTTCTTTTTCCCACTTCCTTCTCGTGCACACATACACCCCAGGCCCAAAAAACACGTGAGAAAATCTTCCCTTGCACTTCTGCTATCCCAGAGTCCAGTGGTGACTTCACATATTTCTGCTGAGCCCAGTTTGTCCATTAACAGTAAAATCACTGTGGAATTTCTACCAAATAACCTAACATGTTTATGAGAGCAGATGTATATTTATACACCAGACACCAGAGGAACACGTGGCTGGCTACAGGGTGCAAAGCCTGCCCTTTACCTAAGACACGCAGTTGGCTTTCCAAATTTTTTCCCTCTCACAGCCACTAGACGTTGCCTTTGGCAGCATCGTTAGTGATAAACCATATATCATAGTTAATCATATTTGCTGAAAGGCTTTAAAGACTTCTCGTATCCTTCTCAATAAAAAAGATGTATTTTCTCATTCAAGTTATTTTTACCATAGGTCTCTAGTGCATGGCCATTAAATATCCTTAAACTGACGTATGTCTGCAGAGTGCAGTATTTGTATGGAGCCAAATTAAAATATACAGTTTTGCCTCTTGCTTTAAAGAAAACTTAATTATTAAACTCAGATTGACACAGATCAAAACACTGGCAAAAATTGCTGGAAACAGTGACTCATTTTTTATTTCAATTAACAGTTTCTCAGTTTCACATATAAACAGTGAAACTGTCAAAGATAATTATCACAGGGGGAGAAAAAAACTATTTCACTCCGAGGTAAGGAAAATGGGCTAAAACAATAGCTGTGTGTACTGATCAAGCTCTCAATGAACAGAACTCAACCAGAGAGCTTTTTTCTTCTCTTGGCTGGAATCCTATTAGTACTTATTAATTAACTATATTAATTATTTATATGACTATATTTATTTTTCTAATAACCTCTGTTGAAGAAAGCTTTCAGCTGACGAATTTTGTAAGGACAGAAGTATTTTAAATGCCTTTTTTAAAATTTATTTTTTACAGTGGAAGGACAAAAGTTATTGGACTTTCAAAATTATCGGAGACATTTTGTTAACTAATCACACTTATATTCTGAATTCTGATTCCAAACATTCAATTTAAAAATCATCTGTGGCTCTTTTTGGCACTTATGATTTCTAACTTGTGTTTACTTTCTTTGCTTTTTTCCTGACAAACTCAGGTGAGTCTGAACTATTTGCAAAATTGCAAAATTCTTTTTGTTTCTCATAAACTCTGGCATATGAATACAGGGGGAAGAAAGTTTCTTAAACATATGCTGAACTTTATCTGAAATATTGGCATGCTAACTCATCTCCTGTGGAGAAGAATAAAATTATAACATTCTCCTGCTTATTTATTTTTTGTTTCCTACCCTATGTTGTGTGTTTCCCAGGATACGTTTCAGGTTCATGAGTTTAAACTGAAATAAATAGTCCTCTCTGGGTATTATTTCCACTGTTTGGTAAGACCAAATGGAATTTTTACTTCCCATATTTTGAGCAGTTTTGTGTATTTATTCAATGTTATATCCTCGTTTTGCTGTTGAGAAAGTAAGTAAAAGCAAGTTTCTTGGGACTGAGAAGAGAGGGTTGGGTAGAGTTTGTGTTCAGCTGCAGGCTCAAGCCTAGGCTGAGTTTTAAGCCCATGAATAATCTCCCCAGAGCTGCTGAGATCACTCGTACGCCTAACGCGTGCGTCGCAGTTTGACTCGGTTTGACCCTGTTTGACTCCGGAGTGAAGGAAATGATGCCTTGGTTGACCATAGCTGGCTGTTTCTAATTCGTCTGCATTTACATACCCTTCGTGTCTGTTTTCCATTAACATGTGAGACTTTAGCAGGGGATTTTTCACAAACAGTTACCACTGGCCAAACTAAACTCCACTGGGCACAGTTCGACACCATCAAGTACTTTTGAAAAACTGCCCATGTTTCTCCTTTCAGACAGATTCCCCACAGAGCTTGTGTGCTGACAACCACTTGTGGCCAATCCTCATGCTTGTATCTTCTCCATCGGTATGTTACTGCAAAGAAAAAACCCACTTCGGTGCTGTCTTATGAGGCTCATGAAGCCAGTGTTCATTGGTTGACCCTTGAGGTGTTTACTCAGTTACTCATCTCTTCGCTGGGAAATGTCCTCTTGTCTATGGAAATTTCCTTGGGTTGGTTGCTTTCATAAACAATTACAGCCTGTGTTATCTGAGCATAATAAAACTAAATGGATTCCTGTCACCACAGCCTCTATTTAGTTTTATACTCCTCATAATTTTCTGAATCTGTGTATGCTTTCTCCTTTCTTGGCTTCATTTTGGAACAAATTCCCTCTTCTGATTTATTGTGCTATGATATTGGTTTTGTTCAAATGCCTCCTTTAAAATTTTCTTTCGTAATCTGTCCTTATACGTTTTTCTTCCTCTCTTAACCTCTTTGTTTTTCAGGGAGTGAGGAGCTTAAGTATTATTGTTCATTTTATCTCTTTAATTGGTACATTGCCGAATTTAGGTTCTCTCTTAGAGTTACTACCTGTCTTTTATATTCTCAGCCATCAGTGCATTTTCAGGGAACCACAGGTTTATTTTATGGGTAGAGCGGGAGGCACAAGAAGTCCTGTTACTGAACAGGTGTGGTGACAAATTAGTCAGGAAGCTATTGCTCAGCTTAACTCCAGCAGCAGTCCTCTCTCAACTCTCAGCTACCATCTGTTTCTGCCCTTTCCAGGTCTGTTCATGCTCATCTGAAAGGCAACGTTTTGGGGTTTTTTTTTCTACTTTTTCTGAGACGTGCAGGTAGTTTGGGAGCATTATTGTGAAAAATGGATGAAACATCGGACGAATTGTATGATCAAAGGTAAAAGAGCTTCAGAGATAACATTTCGTGTGTGCATGCATGCATTTCTGGAAATAAGGCCCTGGCTGGATATCCTCTTGCTTCCTAGCAAATGTTTTGTCTCCGTATCAATGCCAGAATTTTAATTGCATTTCTCCCTGACATTAGATATGTACTCTAAGAAGCTGATGTTGCGCTGCATCTGGAAGCTGACATGAGACTGAAGGGACACATCCTTTGCTGTGGAATATTTGTCTCCAGCTGCTCCTTTGCAGGGTGGGTTGGGGAGACTGCACCTGTAGCAGCAGCCAGGGAGGATTCCCTGCCATAACATTTGTCTGTGAAACACATACTTTCTCCCTGAGGAAATGGGCTTATGTCAACAGAAATGGAAACTTCAAAAAAATATATATGTAGTGGTGGGAAAAGCTAAGCATCTTTGCTCTTAAATGTGTGGGGTGGTTAATTTCATGTTCCATATCCCTCACACACACATTCTTCACCTTTGCCAAAAGCTGAATGTAATTGCAAGCCTATGAATGTCCATAGTTGCCAGACAGCTTAAAATTGAGATACTGTGAAATGCAGACAAATGGAAATGTTTCTCTCTTCTGTAAATATGCAAGAATTATTAAGCATTAAATATCAGTTTCAAGGAGAATCATTTAAGATGGTCAAAGATGAACCTGAGGTGGTTCTTGTGTACACACCTGGAGCAGGAGTCCAGTTAGAGTGGCCGGAAAAGCGAGTTCTGCTCCACACATTGATTTTGCACCCCCTTGACTGGTTAGTGTTGTAGCAGCTTCCTAAAATAGCTGCAGGAAAATATAATCCTTTGCATAGTTGCCGTCACATAGGAGTAACACATTGTGTTCATAGAACTTGTTTTCTTCTCCAGATGGAAGCAAATCATACTGATCCAAAATAAGATTTGTGTTGATTTAGTTGTGTCCACACGAGGGAAGGCAACGGTTTAGCTAGGTGGGCAGCACACAAGCAGCTTGTAGAGTTGGTAGATACCAAGAAGCTCCAAGATGAGAGGGCACATGGCAAGTCTTGCTGGTATTCTTACTGTCAGGGCATCGGTGGCTTGTTTCAGTGAAGGAAAATTACTTCTAAGCACCCAGGTTGTTCTTTCACTCCCTTACATTTTCTTTTACATTCAGATACTGCTTAGCTACGTTGGGGCAAAGTGCAAAGGAGCTTGAGAGGCTCAGGCCATGTGGGGTCTGTTATCTTTGCTGAAAGTCTGCCAGGTAAGTAATTTTTCTTCTGTGCCTCCATTTACCATTCCTCATTTTTTATTCTTCGTCATTTAGCTTACAAGGTCTTCAGAACATGCACAGTACAAAACTGTGTGTCAGTAAATTACCCAGGACACTAAAATGCTGATTTTTGTCAAGGTGAGAGGGTGACATGGTTACAGAATAAATTACAAAAAGGGATGGCTAAAATAAACTTAGCTTCAGTCTGAAAATAAAGAAATTGTGGTTTTTACAAGAAAATTTGTGTTTTACAAGAACTGTGCCTTACAGACTGAAAAAATAAACCTCCTTTGCAAAAAGGCAATTGTACCATTGCCATTTTTTATGAACACATCTGGTCAATGTTGATGCATATCTTTTCTTTTGTTATAGATTAAAATGATTTTGAGTGATCTCTTCTGGCCCACCACTGCCTCTCTTTGTTTAGCATTCAATTCTGCCAGCCCTTTCAAAATGTGGTGTTCCCCTATACTGCCATTAAATTGAATAATACATGTATATGATTTAATCCAAGCTGCCTCCAGCAGTTAGTCGCCTTCTCGAGAGCACCCAGGTGTTGCTTGAAAAGGGACAACAGGGAAAGAAATAAACAATTTGACTTGATGAATTTGCCATCATATCTTTTGTCTCAGCCATCTTCCACTTCAAAAATCTTGTTCAAATAAAATAATTGTGTTTGAGACATAAATAATTTGTTGTGCTTTTTTTTTTTTTTTTTTTTTTTTAATCCATGAAGCTCAAAGCTTTGTATAAAGATGGTAAAACATAATTATCCCAGGCAAACGGAAATGGAAACGGAGGCACAGCCTTTGGGTTAAACTCAGTAGAAAGACAAAGAGAGAAACCTAGGTAGTCTGGAGAATTTGTCCTTCAAATATTAGCAAGATTCCTTTCTGCATTAGCCATCCTTTCTGCAAAACGGCGAATGTTTCTGTTCAGAGTACAAAAACATGCCCCAAATGTAATGCTCTCTGTACGACTCTGGGCTACCAGGTAGGCAACAACATTTTCCCACTGTAAGAGCAGTAAATGTGAGAAAAATAAATGGCTAGTTCATTTTTGCAAGGAAGGTGCTGCAGCATCACCACGAACTCGAGCTTGGTATTCCTGAAGTGGTTTTGCATAATTATTTTTTAGGTTCCCTCTTCAGTTACATAACAACATATGCTTTCCCTATTTACAATGTTAAAATAGACAGAGAGAGAAAAAAAATACTCCCACTGCAAATGATATGGCACTGATGTCTACTACTGATATACCGATGTCTTTTTCCACCAAAGCCAGCTAGATGCTGCCTCAGTCTGCCATGAAATGTCTGCAATCTCACAGCCATAAAGTATAGCAATGTGCAAGGAAAAGAACCCAAAGAAAAAGTGTCTTCTTGACAATCAGAACTTGGAAATTGTCCCTTAAACTGTCCGTAGCTCCCTGGATCTTCCTTGTGGTTTGGAAGGGATGGAAATATCCAACCTGGTGGATATTTTGGGTTGGAAGAAACAAATGCCTCAGCTAAGCCTGAAGGCACCTGTTGGAAGGAGTCCCAAAACGTAGGGATTGTCAATAGCAGGGATCAGTCTACGCTGGCGGCAGATGTTTTACGCTCGATAGTGACTGGAAAGATTTCCCACCCAGGAACTGTCAAGCACAAGATGTCTGCAGAGTATTAAGAGCTTAGAAATAAAATACTAGGTTGTGATAGAGGTTTGCTTTATGTGAAGCTTCTCTCTCATCAAAATAATTTTGAGGAAGTATTGTTTTCCTTTTTTAACACCTGTTTTTGACATTTCTGAGATGGAAAAGCTTTATGTTGTTGTCAGACTGACTCTGTTATGAAATGTAGATGTAGGTAGGGTAAGAAAGAAGTTATAACAAATACGTTTGAGGGATTCCTGCAGAGAGTTCTTGCACATGAAATAAAAATGTACGTTCTAGCACCTCTCAACCATCCCATGTCATAAACAAATGTGGAAATGGAAAGGGCAAATTCTCAGCTGTGCGCCAGGATTAAAACAAGCAGCAAAGCCCATCTCCTCTCAGCTCCACCCTGTGCTCTCCCTTTCCCTAGCACTTCCAACACCCTGAAGATTTTAAACTTCAACCAGTCACCCATACCAAAGCCTGGACCTGAAACTAGCATGATGCTGGGGACAAAAGGAATCTTTATTTTTCTTGGACGATGGTTTTGAGGGAAAGTGGTGCCTGTTTGTGACTGTGTGGAGGTACGGACAGCCGCGTAAAGGCCCTGGTGGAGATGAATGGGTGGGCAGGGAGCAGGTGATAAGGTTAAAAGTGCACCATGGCTGCAGTTTATCACTCGGATATCAGCAATGCGGACATGCCTCGGTGTGTTTGGATTCCAGGCACACGTATCTGAATGCGCCTGTTTAAATCAAGTGGCTGCTCAAAGCCTTTAGCAAGTGTCCTCAGGCAGGAACCCCAAAGCCACCCGCGTTTACCTTCAACACGCGTCGGGAGCCGCTGCAGTGGGTTGCAAAGCGTTGTACTTAAGAAATGAAATCTGGAGAGAAATGAGTCTGCTGTGCAATTATTTCATACTTTTTGGCTTCTCTGATTCAGACTAGCGCTGAACCTCTCCCTTCTCTCCCCCTTCCCATCAGCCCCACGAGGCCTCCCTGACCTTACAATCCACCCACGGTTTCCATGTTACTGTCAGCCTCCTTACACTTGACTGATGAGAAATATGTGATTATTCAACACATCATAAAAACAGCCAGAGCAAATGAAGGAGAAATCTGGAAAGTATTTATAGAAAATCTGTAAACAATCACTGCAATTCAGCTATTCAAAGCTGTGCACACATTAGCTTATTAGCTGTAGAGCTGTCAGATGTTCTTTGGTTCTTTCACCTTTTTTAAAAATTACAAACTGCTTTGTTATACTCCCAGCCATTTTGTATTTCATAGACTCCTGTTTACAGAAACTACTTTTTGAGCCACAATAACTGGGAAGAGAGTTCTTTTTTTTTCCTTATCATTTCATTGACATCAGAGGTTTGACAAACACCAATTCACTGACATTCTTTGTGTGCTAAAAGGCTACTCGAGGTGACTTCAAGCACACGCATCTGTTTGCTGTGTACAGCTCAACATCAGATTCTGACAAGTAGGAAGGAGGAGGTGAGAAGGAATAAGCTGTGAAACAATTCTGGAAAGCGACACAATGCAATGGTGGAACACGCGTTGCAAGGTCTCTCTTCTCTGCGAGAGGCAGGGGTGTTTCTTACTCACCACAGCATGATTTAACCAAAGCGGGATGACTCTATCAAGGCTTTTGGGGTAAACCAGCTCTCGATTGTAGGTATACAGTGTCCAAAAGGATATAGACACAAACTGGAAACAAAATACAAAATGAAAGAAATTTCAAAATGAAAGACAAACATAATTGATACGATTTGGCTAGTGCTTACATTTCTGAGAAGGCAAAACATCTACGTGAAAAATGGCAATATTGCCAGATAAATTCACATATCTCACATGTTACAACATAAAGAAAAGAATTTACTCTGAGGTGCAGTGTTATGTGTTGATACTGCGAGAAAAACCTCCTTTATAAACTGCCAACACTGACATTTTCTATAGAATACTAGATTGGCTTTAAAGTTTTTTTCTTTTTTCTTTACAGATGGGATCTTTTGATGGTCCAGAAGTTCTCAAGGGATTGGCTGTCAAGCCACAGCATTTGTTCTTCTCAGTAACAAAGTAAAAACAGATCCTGGTAAGACAGTCCACATAAAACTTACCCTTATCTTTGCAATTCATAAGCCTAATTCCTAAACTGCAGGTGCAAGACGTGCATTGGGCACCCATTTTTTTTTTCCAACAGGGGAGGATTTACAGTGAGAGAACATAACGGGTGGAAATGAACCCTGGTGTCGGTTGCTGATGCCTGGAAGCTGATTTGCACTTTTTTGACCAGGCTTTGTGTTTTTGAGCATACTTTGTGTGCCTGGAGTTGGACATCAGGGTGTGAGATACTGAAAGAATGAGACTTTACTGTGCCTCCATCCTGCAGGCATGGTGAGGATGCCTGGGGGGTGTTATGACAGCAGCATTGTGAATACTGCTGTGCTGGGCAGATAAATCAGCCAGTCTCTCTGTCTCCATCCCTGGCAGGACTTTTTTAGTGAGCCAGCTGGCTGAGCTGCTTGTGGACCAGATTTAAGCAGCAGTTCTCAGCCCTTTGAGATTCAGAGATGGCTGCAGGCTTCACTTGCACAGAGTGGTACCTACATGTCTAAGTAACCCATCAGTTCCCATCCAACCCACAGCACCAGATAAACAGCATTTCAATAAACAGTCTGTGAGGGAGTAGGTGATCTGTGGTCAATCTGATGTTGGCTATGACTATAATTATTGTCCTGTGAATCTGTTTCTCTCCAGTGCTTATTTAAAGCCATGCTGGAGTCAGAGAAGGAGATGTGAGATTTTGCTGCCTCTTAGGTACCCTCTCATGTCCTCCTGGCCCATGCTGCCCTTTAGAGAAATGCCTTAAATTGATAAATCCACAGCTATTTGGACTGTGAGATTAAGAGAGAGATTAGACCTCCTTCACCCTTTGGGGTCAATCTGTGTTTGCTCGGGGACAGCGACCCTGAAGTTCGTGCAAGAGGCTTTGCTTTCAACCATGACAGGCTCAGTATTGTTTCTTCTAAATAGTCCAAATCCATTTTTAAACAGTAAAAGAAAGCCCTACAGTTCTTATCTATTTTATACATGTGCATGTTATGTTATACACCCCTAATCGTTTATGCAAACATTATTTTTATGTACAGAGGTTACTTACTGTGGACAATGGGAAAGCCAGGACACTGAAAAGAAGGTCTCTGCTGGAAATTATGCACTTAGCACATCGCAGTTTCTTAATTAGTCTCAACACATCAGCCAGGAAGGACACCCCATAGAAGACAGCCTGCAAAACCTAAAGTAATTACACCTAATGAGGGAAACTCATCCAGCTTTAATTAGCACATTCCTCAATGAACTCTGCTCTTGCTCTTCAGGGAGCTGTTTTGTTCACAAGCTGCAAGCCTGTGTTGAGGGAAATAGCTGTTGGCTAAACCTTTTTTACTAACTGAAACTGATTAAATAAAGTTGTCTGGGAGATAACTTTAACAGTATCTCGTTTAATAGACTAAACAGAGATGTGTGATGTGATTCAGATGGTAGAGGTGGAAGGACGTGTTGAAAGCCAGCTCCTTCACACTTCCTATGTTAATTGTTACATTCAATGTATTTGAGCAGGAGCAGGAGAGAACAAAATATGCCAGGAAATATTTCCTGTAAAGCAATTGCTAGATAGCTTCTCCCACCACTTAGCCAAGACAAGGCCTTCTTTCCAGGGACTCGGGGTGCAGCTGATCTCAGTGTCAAGTAGCTCAAAATGCTCTAAAAGGAGAATTGGGTGCAGAAGTTACCAAAACCAGACCCTCTTTTGCTGAAGTCAGAAGAATTCAGGAAAGGACTTCAAGTGCTTAGAAGCAGAGATCCAGGCTTCTCTAACTAAAACAGAATAAGTTAAAACTATTTTATAACTAATGGATTTTGGAGTTGGGGATGGGGGGGATGGGTTGTGTTTTGTTTTGTTGTTTTCTTTGTTTAAATCATTTACAAGTAATGAGAGTGGGGCTGTTTGGGGAGGGTGCTAGGAGGAATTCTGTATGAAATTGTCACAGTATTGTAGTTTAAGCCAATACTGCTTTTCTGATTAGTTTGTTTTCTCTCCTAACGCTACGCAGCCTATCAAGCTGAACCAGATTTGTCAGATGCACCAAGGCAAAGCCTGGCAGATGAATACTTCTCCTGCTACCTTGCATTCAGCACTGAGTCTAGTTCAGTTCTGTTAACTCACTGGGCAGCCTCTTCTTTTTAAGGCTCAGTCGTCCCTGAGTGAGGCAATATGGGAAATGCAGCCTGCTGCAAATGCTGTTCCAGCTAGCAATGCTGAAATGGAAAGAGGCTGTGTTACAGCTTTCAGGGTGAGATCTCTTTTGCCATGATCTTACTCTGAATCAGATATTTATTTAGAGCAAACTGTCTGAAGCTGTGGCTGGTTACTTCATGAGTTTCTGAAAGAACCGAGAAGGGTGGTGCTTGGGAGGGGACAGAATTAATGCAGTGCTTTTCCCTCAGAAATCCCTTTATTATCAAAATATCTGAGGGGAGGAGGGGACTATGATTTCCCCACGTCTGTTGTCAAAGGTTTCTGCAACCTTTAGTTTTCAGAGACTGGGTCTTCCTGGGGATCAAAATGACCATAGTTTCCGTGACCAGAGTATCCCCCATCCATTTTTGTGGCTCCCGAGCAAAGGGAAAAGATACATCCTTCCTTCCCTATCCTTTCCGCAGCCCAGCTGGCTGACACAGCAAACTGCAGCCAGGTGCCACTGGTGGAGCATCCCCCGTGCCTGCGCAGACCCACGGCGTGGAGGTCGGGAGGTGCTGGCACAGGCTGGGTGACTGGCCCACGGTCACCCAGGACAAGGTATCTGAGATACCACCCAGTTCAGCTGCAGAGCCCTGTGTCTCCTTTCCTCTCAAGAGCACGGGGTGAATAGCCACATTTTTACATCAAAAAACCCAACCAGCTTCACCAGAACTCACATATGGTTTTGTTCAATTCTGAGGTACCCAAACCAGCTCTTTTAAATGTGGGTTTCTTCCTCTTTCTCTCCCATTATCACAATTACCCTCTGTAACTGCAGGCACAATTTCAGTCAGTAGGGATTCCACCCTCCAAGTCACAGGTCTAGTTCAGAAAAGTCTGTACTGGGGCACAGTTTGCTTAGACCCAAACACATGTTCAACCCAAACATCTGCCCCAGTCCTTGGCCTCACCAGGACACCAAAACCAAGTCCCTAAAGAGCTAAGAAAAGCCTGTTAATAAACAGAAGCTCTTATTACACACTGTAGAGTCAGCAGTAACTTTCTGTAAAAAGCATGAAAAATGAACATGAGGGTGGTGACAGTCTGGTGCCACATGGTGACTAATTGCCAATAAAGCAATTAGGGAGAGGCCGGGTTCCCAGAGGATGGGGCTATTATTATCTTGTTCATGGTCAGCCTTACATTAATCATGGGACAGGAATAGGCTGCTTCTTATCCCCTTCAAAATTAACTAAAACAAACATTTCTGAAAAGAAACAGTCCCAAAACAACCACATTCTCAGCCTGGTAAATATTCTGTCATATGCAGGGGAGGACAATGTTATCTTCCATATGGAAAACGCTTATCCGGATGTGTAACCTGACCCATTTCTCTGGCTGAATGTGGAGAAGAACAACTCCTGAAGGAGTTTGAACTCAGCCTCAGGAGCTTGTTTTTGCACTGCTCATAGCTCTACCCTTGTCCATCATTGTGGCTTCAAAGGTGTTTCAGACAGTTTGTGACCACCCTGTATTTCCAAGAGCAATGGAAGAATATACAAACAATTTTCAAGCCAGAAAACTGAACCTAGCTAGAACCATCCCTAGTAACACTCAGTCTGGCAGGGTTCACTGCTGGTAGACTTGAGTCAGAGCACCAAACCCAGGCTCTTCCAGGCATATTCCTGTAAGAAAGGCACATCCAAATCTCGCAGCCCTTCACCAATTGGAAAATGTTGACATAAAAAGAAAAATAATATTACATGAAAACATCAAATTATTCCAGATGTCCTGTGAATTTCCCAAACAGCAGCGCTGGCGCTCACAAACCCATTGCAGCCGCTTGTGGAATATAAATCCTCTGGCTGTAAATAAAGAGGATCCCCTAAAGTATTCCCACACGAACAGAAGGAAAACTAGAAGTATTCAGAAAGCTAATGATTAACCCAAAGAGGAGAATATGGATATGATTATCCCTGTTGGAAAGATGCTGCTTTCCTCTCTAGAACCCGCAGAGCTCCATGACACTAGGTGCTGTAGAAATGCTTAATTTGGCCAGATTGATTTTCCAAACTGAGAGTCATAGTGACAAATATAAACCTTAATTTTTATCTGCTGCAGTGATCAAAGGGGTGTTTCTGTTTAATTAACCTGATGTGATTCACTTTTGCTTATAAGATCTAGCCATGTGTATATTGAAATCTCCAACTAGTAAAAAATGAAGTGGGCTTCAAGCTCTGCCCTTAAAGGGGGATAAATCTAATATTTTGAGTAGGGTATTAGACATAACAGCCAACATTTAGTGTAGACACACATCCATTCACATGATAGCAACCTGGAAAATATGTATACTAAATATTGGCTCTATTTTGAAATAAATAAAAAACAGCTTTCAGGAGAATTTAAAAGTATTTCAATTACAACATATAAAAGCATAAGGAATAAAATGGGGCAGGAATGCAATTAATAGTTTTTAAAGGTGCAATGTGCTCATTATGCAATGGTTTACCAATAGATTTACAGCAGTGAGCAGTTTATGAGCTCGGATATTTCAGGCAATGAATGATTCCACTTGTACTGTTTTGTGTCACAGACAAATGAATACAAGACTGTTTTTATCTATCATTTCTGCTTGTTCAATAATAGGTCAATGAACCCCTTTGATACAAAGCCCACTTATCTTTTTCCCCCTACAAAAATATTTCCTTTCTGAATCTTTATTGCTATGATCATTAACTAGATAAACAAATCTAAAGTAATGTCAGAGCTGTAGCTCTCTCGGGAGAGCCACATGACTGGCAAGGAGTTGAATGAGGTGCTAAAAGAGGGTCATATCTAGAAGAAATTCTTCCAGCATCCCTCCAGCAGAGCTAGGAGTCAAGCTGCATTTCCATCCCTGGAAAATGTCATGTTTCCCAGTATTTCCATTTTGGATCAGAGCGAGCCGGCCACAACAGCTTTCCACAGAAGGAAATTTTAAAATGTAATTCCACAGAGCTAAGAGGAATTTTTTGGGGAAAATTTCCAAGTAATTCAGCCAGCCGATGCCAGAAGCCAGGCAGTTGCAGTCTGATAGGAGACAGGTAGAAGAGCTGGACAAATGCTCCGCGTGTCTGGCTCTGGGGAAGCCTCCAAGGCACAGCCCAGTCCTGCCCAGCGTGGCGTCTCCACTGGACCAGCACAGCCCACTGGGAAGCTTTTCCCTGCTCTTCTTCCCTGGGACCATCCCTCCTGGCATCCCAAGGCGTTTCCTGGGACTGCTTCCAAAGGCACAGAAATGTCACGTCAGGTGTGCGCCTGATAGACGTCTGTGGTTGACAGCCACCTCTTGGTCCTTGATGTCCCTCAGCAGCAACAAGAGTGAAGTGCTTTAATGCCAAACCATGGAATGACTCTTCTAGGTCTTGTGGAGCCCCACAGGGAGCTTCATGGCAGCCTGGGCCATATTGTCTTCTCACCCTCTTCCTCTTTTATACAGTGGCGCAGGAAACTTTTGCCACCTGGAGATATCAACAAGCGATCTCCAGGTCAACAGAAGAAGGGGACATGAGGGCATTTATCTCCCCAGGCCTCTGTCCCTTTTTGGCAACCCCTTCCTGTAAAAAAACACATCTCTGCAAAAGAAGGACCGCCTACCATGAAGCAGTAATTTTGCACACCCTGCCTCATTGCCATATTTTCTGAATGAGACATATTCAACATCTTCAGCTCAAACTATCTCCTTGCTGCCTGACAGCTCCATTTTAGTGTTGCAATCAGATCAATAAGTGGTTAAAAATGGGAGACAAAGGACTAGAGAAGCAGAGCAAGGGCCCCTGCTCAGGGAGATTTAATGAGACTTGAGCTGTTCAGCAGATCCGTAAATGAGCTGGGGAAGGGAGCAAACACTGAGGTGGTAAAGCTTTGTAAATCTTTTTTTTTTTTTTTTTTTTTTTTTTTCTGTCAAAACTAAGCCTGACTGCAAAATTGCCAAAGAATCTCACGATACTGAGTGCCTGAGACATCAAATAGCAGGTGAAAATCTGGTTTGGTAAATGCAATGTAATGCATCTTAGAAAAAAAAGCAACTTCAATGAGATTTTTCAACGGTGGGTTCTAAATTAGCTATCACCATCCAGGAAAGAAATGTTGGACTCACAGTGGATAGCTCGCTCAAATTGATGGTCCCTTGCTCACCAGTAATCAAAAAAGACAAATACAGAGTTACAAATTGTTAAGAAGAAATAAACAACAAACAAGGAAACACCTTTAGGCCTCTGTATAAATTGATGCTGTGCTCATAGCTCAACCACTGCAGCCTGCCCTACTTACCCCTTTCTGAAACTAGAAAAACTACTGCAAAGGGCGACAAAGATGCTTTAATGAAAGAAGCAGTCCTTTGTGAGGAGAGATTAAAAAGGCTCTGGCTTCCAGCTTGCAGAAAAGAATAACCGAGGGGAAAATCTGGTAGAGGTCTCTAATGGGTGGCAAAGAAAAAGTGAACAGGGACGGATGATTAAATTATAACACAGAAGTAAAGAAGCATCCAATTCAGGATGTCAGGAAACAGGTTTACACCAGCAAAATGAACTGCTCTTTTACACAAGGCACACTTGCTTTGTAGCACTCATTGCCACAGGATAGGGAAGGTACCAGAAATATAAACAGGTATGTTTTTCCTTTAGCTAAATGAAGAGAAGGCTTTGAATGGGTATTAGCCACCTTGGCCTGGATTTATTTTCTGGGTGGGTGTATGCCAGTGTGAGGGTAGAGCCATGGGAAGTTCATTTTACGCTTACACACGCTGTTCTCTTGTGCAGCCTTTCCTTGATCATCCACTGCTGGTCACTAAGGGAGTCTGGGCGATAATTTCAGTAAGTATTTCTGCATCTCAAAATACTGGGAGATGGGTTACTTTCTTTCTCCTCTTGATGTCATGCTTTAGAGCTGTGTCATATATTGGGTGATAGATGTCATTGTGATGGTGCCAGGGGATGGGAGTGGAGATGCTGTTTTGCCTGAAAGTATGGGTGATATTTTAACGGGGCCAGCTTTGCCCCCATAAAACAAAGGACAGGAGCTGGGTACACAGTCCCTTCCTTGCCTGGGACTTGACTGGTGGTGTTTTAGTCTACTGACAAACAGAATATCCTTAAGGTTGTTGAATGCTAACCATTTGATCCCTGGCATTTTGGAAAAATTTATTTTTGAAACATCACAAAAAGCCTAAATGTAATGATACAAAGACAACACAGCCACGAGCCATGCATACGGCACCCTGATTGCAGTGATGTAAGTGCCCTCACCCTTGCACAGTTATCTTGGCCACTGAGAAGGGTGCTGTGGCTCCCTGAAGCCCAGGCTGTTGTGGCCACCAAGAAGGGTGCTGTGGCTCCCTGAAGCCCAGGCTGTTGTGGCCACCAAGAAGGGTGCTGTGGCTCCCTGAAGCCCAGGCTGTTGTAGCCACCTCATGTGCCGTTCACTGCCTCTTGGTGGCAAATATTTCACGGTCACAGAATGGTTGAAGTTGGAACGGACCCAAACTTCCCAATGCCCTGGGTGTCTCCAAAGGCTCCAGTTGGAGCTGGGGAGCCTTTAGGCTTCCATGAAACCACCACGGGGTGTCTCCTTCTGAAGAGGAAAAGCAGAGACAAACGTACCCCGGGCCAGACCTCCCACTGATGCTGAACTGTGACGGTCACACAGAATGAACGAAAGCCTACGGAGGTCCCTGCGGTCATCCTTCAGCTTAGCAAGGGTCCCTGAAGTGTGTCCCTTGTAGGAACCCTCTCCACATGCCAGGTATTTCCACCCGGCTGCCACCACTGCCATGAGTCACTGATGAACCACATGGACTGTGAACAAACCTTCTCCCCCAAGGTATCTCACGTGTTTTATTTTGATTTCTATATTGTGAAACGTTAACATATTAGGAGAACCAGAACACATCAGGGTTTATGTTTTTCTGTGTACTTTTAGGAAATTCAGCAAGTAGTTGATAGCATTGTTAAAATACATGTAATAATGTCACAAGCACCTCTCTCCGCAGGCTGGATTTTAATTCCCTTGTGCTCTCAACTGATTGTCAAACTAAGCATGTACTCTGAATGGCTAAATTAGCACCGTGCTATGCTTTGTTTTACCTTCTCTGTAATTTACAGGATGCAAAAGCCTATTAAATAATTGAAGTAAAACTTCAATCATCATTATAATGTGTATTGAATTAAGGGTTAGATAACATGCATCAAACTTGCACGTATCTTGGCTGGACATACCCTACCTTTCTGTCCCTCTCCTCACTGATAGCTTGTCTCTTTTATAAGGAGGCAGCTAGCTTCAGAGTACTTTCTGAAAGCCAAGTAGCTCACCAGTCGATCTTCTTTCTGCATAAAATCTGTGAATACCTTTCACGGGACAAGCATAGATCCCTACTTAGTTTTCTTTGGGGTATAAACTGTTAAAGGAGGCAGTTTAACAGCAGCAAATATACCAGCTGCATATGTCTTGAGGCACAGATGGCAGACAAACAAATAGACATATTGGTATCACTGTACAACACGATTTGCTTACCAGATTGAGGACTGTCAAATATTTCCACTGCCCACCGTAAAGGAACACTTCAGATGGCCGCTCTTCTGTTCTTATGTGTGTGATTGAATAGGCAATGAAAAAATACCAGACAAAAGCAAGGCAATGGTACGTTGCGAGAGTAGAGATTTCCATGCTTTAGCTAAGAGCAAGTGATAAACCAGCCAAAAGCAGCTTTCCTCTTAAGGTCCTCGGTCGCTGTGCATGGGAAATGTCGGGGTAGGAGGCTTTACTTCAGAGCAGACTCAGAGCCACTTTGCTGTCCTCGGAAGGAATATGCACAAGGCTGTGAACTTTGCTTCTGTTTGTTTCCCTTTTCACTGTACGGATAGGCTGGGGGGTGGGCAAGAGGAATAAGCTTATTGCCCGGATTTAAATGCCTTGCTCAAGATTAGTGAGGATTAGCTGTGGAGTTACATAAATTTTTTGTTGGTTTGTTTGTTGCTTTTTTGTTGGGTTTTTTTTTTTTTTCAAAAGTGGGGGGAGCTTTGCTGCTGATTTTGTGTAACGGGCTGTCATTGTTCGAGTAGCAAGTGAAAACAAGTAGCATTTTCCTCTCTTGTAGCTATGGGTGCAGCCATGTCCCCAGCTCAGCTTGGGAAACCTCTAAGACTGTTTTATCCTTGTGCCAAAGGAAGAAGTGGGAAGCATAATGGACTGTGAAATAAAATCTGAGTTGATTTGTTGATAGACTATGGAGGTGGCAAGGAAGCTGAGAGGATCTGTAGGCAAAGGTCCTTGGGGTTGAAAATCACTGCGAGCGGTGACATCTTTTTGTGGGAAAAGGCTCTGCTGCCTTTATGCTGCTAGGATCCGTCACAACTGTGCACAGCAGGTCGGATGTACCCCGAGTTGCTTTGAACCTCTGGCAGGGGTGGAGACATGGGGCAAAGACCTTGGGTGGCAAACCCTAAGCACTGGGCAGGGCATCTCACCTATCTGCTTCTTTACTTGATGCCACTCACCTTCAGACAGCCCCTTTTCCCTGGCGTGACATTATCACACCATCAGGGCTGGGGTAAAGAAGAGAAGAACCCATACGCCCGCAATGACCCTAAAATGAAGTGATCAAAAAACCTCCCATGGAAATGCTCATTTTTCCCTGCCCTCATGCCTCGCCAAGCAGCCCTAGTTAGCACTGGAAAATACAGACGGCATTTCCTATTTGAGCCAGAGTCTGTGTAATTACAGTGCTGTCAGCAGTAATTGCCACCTGAGTGTTTCACAGGGGCCTTGGCAGGGAGCAGGTACCATGCCCCAGCCCACACCAGGACCTTCCCCACACAGGATGGGGAGAGGGGGTGCTCTTCTTGAGCCCTGTCTCCGTGGGCAGGGCTGGGCTTTGGCCAAGCAGACTGCATTAAGGGATCTCTTTTTTTTTCCTTTCCCTTCTAACTAGCCTACAGGCAGCATTGAGCAACCTGCTGTGTTTTGGTTTGTTTTGGTTTTTCTCTTGCATTTCTTTTTCCCCCTGGTACCGGACGTAAGGCTCCATGTGGGATGATTTCCTATGAACTCAGACAGCAATATGCATGCATGTTGGGAAACAGCCCTTGCACTAAGGCACTCCAATGTCCTCCTGAGTTTCATTGACTTCTCGCCTAATTCAGATTGCCCACATCCAGATTCCCCAGGCATTCCAGCCATCACAATCCTAACGAAATATTTCTGCCTCACTTAGGAAAAATAAAGATGTAGATTCTTTTGTGGTTGTTTGAGGTTGGAGAAAAACCCTTGCCAGAAAAAAAAAAAAAAAAAAAAAAAAAGGGAAAATGATATGTGAATATGTTTTTTGGACTCTGACAATGTCACTGGTCTTTTCCTAGGAAATCCAGCAGAAAAGACTTTTCAATTGCCTTTACAGACTTTCTGAGAAGGGGCAGTACTGTCATGAGCTGCTTCCTCTGCTCCTCCTTGTTAAGACTCATCCCTGTGACAAAAGGCAGGAACAGAATAGGACTATGGCATGGAAGGGCCCTTTTTATTAGTGATTTGCATATCAAAGGCTCCAAGCAGTCAGCATTTAACAAGTTATCTTCACACCAGTCTTTCTGAGGTTTTGCTGTAGTGCAACTTTAAAAATGGGAAAGCATGTGCTTCTGCTCAAGTAGGTGCCCGAACGCATGCAAATCAATGTAAATGTATGCAAAATGGCAAGGTATGTTTTTTTCTTTTCTGGAGGATCTTGGCCAATATGGCTGGGAAGGTGTCAAGTACGGTGACAGTTTTCTGATGTGTACACCTGTCCCACAGACTGAGACCATCTGCTTTGTTTTCCCATATACAAGAAGCAAGACACATATCCTTCAGCCCAGATAAGGGATGAAGTTCAGCTGTAGAAACATCGCAAAGAAAGGATGAGCTCCAGATAAGATCTGAAGTCTGACACCCCACACTTCATGGAGTCTTTCTTATTTTACTGCCAGTATGATGCAGTAAGCAAATACACTGGAAAGGTAACCGTCTCTCCGTGGTTATGAACATCTACTAGAGGTTCAGTGGAATAGGAAATTCAGTCTAAAACTTTTCAGGGAGTGGAGAGAAGGAAGAAAGGAGAAGCACAGACAGATGTGCTGCTGCAGATCTAGAGGGATGGTTAAGGGAAATACCATCTTCCATCTGCTTGGTATCACACCCCAGCTCACAGCTGCTACTCTCCTGAGCCGAGCTGAGCTGAGCTGAGCCTCATTCATGCACTCTGCCAATGCTCTCAGTCTGCTTCAGGGGCTCTCCTGACTTTGGACAGAAACAAACTGGGAGCTCCAAGTTAGTCCATTAACACGGTTCAACTGAAGACTAGTAACAAGTAATTGGAGTTGTAAATCACCTTGTAAACACAAAAATCTCTTCTGCTCATGCCCCCTTCTACAGGAGTGAGTTAGGCCAGCTTGCCTGACATTGCACCAAAATGGGCTTGACTCACTTACTATGGTTCAGGTACAGAGATGACAGCAAACAGTGTAAACTGATAATATCTTAGACCAACATGTCTGTAATGCCATTATGTGTCTCCACTGATGGGCATGGTATTTCCAGGCTATCAAGTCCATCATTACCATATAATGTTTAGGTATCCCCTCAGCCTTTCGCTAATGAGGCAGATGTAGAAACAAATATCCCTACTTCCTCATGGGCTGACAATTTGTTTAGAGACCAGTTAGACACCTCTAAAATATTCTTTAATATTTTTGCACTGGCAAGGTTAGGTTTCCTCTCTGTCAAGTCAGCATCCAACCATGGCAAAACAAGCAAGAGCAAGGCAGAAAATCACTGAATCACTGGCAGGTGGCAGCAGTTAAGGCCAGGTGGGAGGAAAGGATTCAAAGCCAAACAAAGCCCTAGGAAAGGTTTGGGAGTGTGGGGGGGTGTCTAAAAAGCAAAACTGGGGGTTTGTGCCTAGCTCTCTTTTCTGGGCATATTCTAAGAACAAGGGATTGATGCACAACTGGGATTTGCCTCCATCAGTGGCATTTTCTAGGATGAAGAAAATGTGAGAAGCTGGGTAAGTACATTTTTCTTCCAGTTTTCTGACACTTGTTTCTATTGTCATTGCAGTTCTTCTATCTCATGTGTGGATGTCGCAATTTATGTATTTTTAATTCACTGCTATTCTAAGCTGGCTTCCGTTGAGGGTGGCATTCCTTGAAAGCTGGGCCCAAGGCTGTTCTTGTACAACATCCTCTGTGCGTTATGTGAGCATGTCCAGAGTTAACAGGCTCCATCTCTGCTATGGTCTGGTTTAGCTGCAGGTGATGCAGGGGTCTGTGAGGAAGAAGCATTTTCTGATACGCATTAGTCAAGAAAGCTTTTTAACATGTAGAGCAAGGCTGCCTGAGCTCTGTGTCCCTAGGGACATCTGTAATAATGATTTCTGCAGTGACTGTCCTGATGTATGAAATGAAACATAATTGACAAAATGGCAAGCCTAACATAGTCTGCTTCAGGCATCCTCAAATCCTGAGTCAAACTCCCCAAAATCATGTGGTTAGAGTAATTCACAAGTTTTAATTTTCTCTGGCTTTATTTGTCTTGGGCTTTAGTAGCTTCTAGGGGTCTGAGTTTTCTAACTCTTTTTCACAGCTGTGTGAGTGACAGGTGTAAAAATGTTTTAACTGCTAACAAAAGCTGAGGGCCTTGCCCAGGGATGCAGCAGTGACAGTGACAACTAATGACAATAGATAAAAATATTCTGAGTTATTTCACTAAAAATCTGAGACTAGGCAAATGTTGCAACATCTACCTGCTGTGTATGGCAAGCAGGAAAGTTAAAATGTTGAAAGGCGGCTTGTGCACACTCTTGTGTGGGCCTCTCCTCTTTATTGTGTGTGAGATTTTTTTTTTTTCTAATATATACTTTTAAGGGAAACACAGGAAGTGGTTTATCTCATCTTGATATATTTGTTCTGAATTGTTTTTAAAATGTTGTTCCAAAATGCCAAAATCCAGAGGGAATTTTCAGTCCCAAAGTGAAGACTAGTGTACAAGAAGAAACTGGATTCAGTAGTTGGAAGTACTCACTCAGGTTTCCGAGTTTCTCCCTCTCTTCCAGCTCTATTGGCTTTTAAACTATGTTTATTCAGACTGCTAAATGAAATGTCACTTTGATCCAGAA